TATTCATCCCTGCTTGAGAACTCACAAGACATACGAAGAACCACTTGTAATAAAACCAAATAGCAGTTCATCTCCTAGCGCTGCAGCAACTGATTTTATAAATCTCCTTTATAAGAGTTTTTTACTCTTTTCAAACATTAACCAAAGGACACCCTGAAATCAGGCTCCAAAGTGGGGTTGTGTTAGAACTCCTGCAATTTTAGATGTCTTTCTTTTTTGTTTGCAGGGTCAAAAAGGAAAGCAAGGAGCACGGGGCAGTGCAGGGAGCAGAGGCTCACCGGTAGGTGAAGATTCAATTTTCTGCTCCAGCAAAAGCTGTGCAGACACCTCCATCATTAACACCGTTGTGGTTTTAGGGTGCCCTTGGGCTACCAGGACCTAGAGGAGTGGTGGGAAGGCAGGGTCAAGAGGGTGCCCCTGGAGTGGACGGAGTGCCTGGGAAGGATGGTGTGCCTGGGCTGCTGGTGAGTTTGCAATTGTAATTTTATAGCACCAAATGCAACTAAGAGCTGGGAAACTAAAAGTTAATACAGGAAAAATGGATGTAGCCCAGCTATAGATATGCTATTTTATATGTAACCGGAGTGGATCATGTGCTGGTCTTAATACCGCACAGGCACAGGGAGGCAGGCAGATGCCTTTGCATGGCCAAGTCTGTAAACAAACTGATGTTTCTAGCCTGACAAATAGATACTTATATGCACAGACCTCTGTATGTGTATCTGCAAATCCGCCCATGCCCAGATGCATGCTTTCTTGCTGAGGACAGATTCACACCACTCTCGTGTCCCCCCAAAAGGCGATGTGCACAGGTGGAGAGATTGTCTTGTTCCATAACTTTTCATGTGTTTCTTTTCTAGGGAGAGCAGGGAGATGATGGGGAAGAAGGTATAACAGGGATGTCAGGCAAAAGAGGGGACCCTGGCATACCAGGACTCCCAGGAGCACAGGGACCACCAGGATTTAAGGTGAGTTTCTGACTCCATAAGATACTGCTCCTAGCAATTCAATCTGTGAGCCTGGCTTCCTGGGGTTTTTAATCTAGAGTTTGGAATCTCCAGAGTCTAATAAAAGTTTGAACTCCTGCTGCCATCTTTCACTTAGCTGGAGGCTTAGTGGGTCTTTCTCCTCATCCAGCCATACACTTTCATGAACTCTGTAGCAGCTGAGTATCCCAGAGACCTTTATTCCTTTGTCAAAGTTCGCTGAGTTCACGAGTCTCCAGATACACATACCTACGCTATGAACACTCCAGCCGCATTTCAGTAGATACCCAGCTAAAAAAATGTGGCCTTGGAGAAATTGCAATAGCCCTGCCTTTAGGAAGTCCAAGATGGATGACTTTGCTGGAAACGCAGGAGTCCTCCAGCTGCTACCCCATGGGGCCTGAACTGCTGATAGGAAGTTTGTGACACTTGTTTTTGAGCAGATACTTACAGGATTGGACTTGCTGGAACCAGTATGGGCTTGGGCATTGCTCTAAGCACAAAGAGTCGGGGAAACCCTTCTCTAGAGACCTTGGGAGTTCTTACTGGTCCTTATCCTGGTTTAGGTGGGCCACAGGGTAGAAACTGGACCAACAGCAATTCAGCCATTTGTAGAAAGACAGTGTGAATGGAAAGAGTCCAGCTAGGTCTGGGGAGGCTATCAGGTCTGATTTAAATTATGCTTAACACACCACTCTTAAACTGTCACTTGCTGCCCTCCAGCTGCCTTGGGTGGAATAACAGGCTGTTACCAAAAATGCCTGAAAGACCCTTGAGTAGTTATGCCTGGTTCACACCCTTACTGCTGGGGAGTTTGTTGCCCCTTTTCCAGAGCCTGAGCAGCCACCCTCTTTGCTGCTCTATTCTAGTCTGCCCCAGATTTAGGTAGCTGGATTTGCTTTGTTCCTGGGGCTTTGCAAGGTGAAGAGCTGTGGTGCAAAGTGCAGTGCTGGGTCTCAGGCACCCCTCTGCTGTCCTTGAGTTGCAGGGTTGGTGCCAGGGAAAATGCTGGCTTTGTAGCCTTTGGATTAAGGTCCTCTAGCTGAAACCTAGGAATGTCTTCAGCATTTTAGACGGATTAATCATCAATTGCTGTGAGAAACTGCAGGACAGGACAGGCAACATACAGAAGCCTCAGTCGCAGTCAGGCAGTACTGCTCTATTGAGTGCTCCTGCTCTGCGTGGATCACAGGATGGGACACAGCCATACCCATCGCTGGTCTCAGTGTGCATCCCACGATAATCTGCCTTCGCAGACCTGAGGGATCTCCTGATGAAACCATGTTTCTTGTCCCACTGCGCCCCTTTTTTTCCAACTTTCCATCTGTGGCTATTTCAGCTGAACGTTGCTATATTTAGATCCTGTCCCTAAAATTACTTGGATTCTGTAATTTTTAGGGTGAAAGAGGATTGCCTGGACAGACTGGCCAAACAGGGAAGCGAGGACCACCAGGCGGAATGGGGCTTCCAGGGAGCCCAGGTGATCCAGGACCCAAAGGACAGCCGGTCAGTGAACAACTGAAATGATCAGAGCTGATTTTAAACTGTCTCCTGTATGAAGAGGAAGCAGATCTGCAGGCCTAGATAGCAGGGTGGACCCAGGGACAGCCTCTTACAAGAGAACTCATACCTGGTTTGGTGTCAGCATAGTTTTCTCCAGCGTGCACACTTTCCTGCTCTTCTCCACTCACTTGTGCAAGAGGGGTCTAATCTGTGCCCGGGTTCCCTGAGACAGCACAGTCGCACTGTTCACATTATCATCGTTCCTGTAGTCCCAAGGCTGTGGTATGTGCTGGCAGCCGGTCCACAGAACCATATCAAACAGGCCCTACAACAGTATTTTTGATGAGAAACGTTATGATAGGGACATGTGGAGTCCACAGGAAGTATTGAGAGCTGGAAGCAGACCCTGAAATCCAAACCATCCAGAAGGTGCAAAGGGGAGCTGGTAGCTCTGTTGGGGCCGTACAGGAGGTCCAGAAGTGAATATCCTGGTGTGGTTTCTTGGGCAATGGAGCTGTGGGTCAGAGCACAGTGGGGAAAATACTGAGAGCCCTGAGTCGAAGCAGAAGTTAAATTCCCACACCTGTCTCCCAGGCAGGCTCCTAATCCTTAGTGATTTTATTTATTGTGCTAGCGGGATTGTCTAACTGAGCACTGATGTGTCACACTTCATCAGACTGAGGCTATATTGAAAATGCTTAAGCTATTTAGATTGGGACCACTTTAGGTCAGGAATATTTCTTACAGTGTACAGAGGAGACTATAACTATTTAATTTATTTAGAATCATTTAAGATAGTTTTAGAAACCCTGAAGTGGGAAACATTTTAAGTCTCTCTTATCTGCTCTGTCTCCTCTCTCTGTTCAACGTCTTTGCAGCAGTGGGGTTTCCAGCCATCTGAAACATGCAGACCTGTGTAACTACTCCCTTTCCAATACCGGCTAAGCACCTCAGGAACACCCCCACTAACACAAGATGTAGTTAAGCCAAGAATACAAAACTTAACACTAGGAACAAAAAAGATTAGGACTGATATAGAGCAAGGGCCAAGGAGAGCTCGGGTTAGCGTTGATCGTGAGCCTACCCCTCTCCCTGTTCTCCAGGCGCAGTGCCCTGGGATGCTCCGCATGCCCGTGGGAGAGCCACTGAGGGGTTAAACCGCGTGGGTGACCTGTGTGTCGCAGGGCTCAAGGCAGTGAATAATTCAGAGTTTTTGTGTGACCCACAGCGTGGTGGGGCTGTTTCACCAGCTGTGTTGCCTTCACGGCATTGTGTTGCAAAAGGGCAGGATTGCCTGCATGATGGAATACATCTATTTCTGTAAAAGCTGCTGATTTCTGGGCCGTGTGCCGGTAAGAGTAGACCCCTCATTACACTCAGGAGCTGTGATCACAACAGGGCTGGGCAGATCTGATCTAGCTGCCTGTGGTAATGACTCAGGGAAAACACGGACCCCCCCCAAAATATATCCTGAATTGTGGTAGATATTTATGACCTGCATGCAGATGATTATTCCCAGCTACCTCAGTTAAAGGCAGTTTCTCTGTCTGTGTATTTTCTATCAGACCCTGTGAGAGCAGTATTCAAACAAGCTGAAAAATACTAGCCAACAGCCTAAGAATATCATTTTTTCTCTTCTGTGCACAAGTGGCAGGTTCATTTGCCCAGTACAGTAGTTGCTTACCTTGCTGTATAAATACCAGTCAGGTGCCCTTAGCTGAGGTGACTCTGTGATTTTAGACTCCTCTAAAAGCCTTCTGACTTCCCATTTACTTTTGCACTAAATTCCTCTAGAAAGAGGGCTGGGCTGGTTCTCCTAACACAGGAAAGACCTTAGCCCTCTGCTAGTAGCATGTTTGCTTTCCAGAATCCATAAATGGGCAGTTAAATCATTTGTATATCCTTGGAAAGTTTCTTACGCTCCACCGATTCCAACCAAGCCCAGTCTTGCCAAGCGGTTTCTCACTATTGTGGCAGGAAGAACTTCCTAACAGAGGTCTATAGATTGACTCCGGAATAGCCTTGTAATAGAGGTGATGGAAACCCCATTGGTTGAGTCATTTACAACTGGGCTGAACGAGATATTGTAAAACATCCCATAAAGTACAATCCAGCATGGTCGCATAGTCCAGCTGAGAGGCCAAACAAGCCTTTTCCATCTCTTATGTTCCTAAGACTGAGGATGAGTCATCTGGTGTAAGTTTCTGTCCTTTTTTTTTTTTTTTTTTTGGAACGGTGAATCACTTTGCATTTTGACATCTGGGAAGCCCACAAATATCAAAGGACATATATCTCAAACGTGGTGAAAGGAGGGTGTTTATATAAAGGCATTCTACCCAGTGTGGTTTTTTTATTCTGAGAGTGCATGCTATGTGTTAATCCAAGCTTGGTGATCTTCCAAATATCTTTTCTTTTTTTTCTTTTTTTTTTTGAGAAATTGAGCAAAAATCCCTGCAGGGTTGAAATGGAAAAGAATTGGGGAATGTGCAGTTTTCCTGGTTTTAAGGGAGAGGTTATGTTGTAAGAATATGCACTTTTTTGATAGCTTGAGTGAGCAGAGTTTGAAATAATTATCCTTTAGTTGGTTAGTCCAGTTAATATTTGAATAAAAGAAGAGCTTGCTTTAAAGGGTTTTGAGGCCAGTGTTTGCAGTGTGGAGGATGTCCGGGACGGATCTTGAAGAGGATGCTCTCCATCCTGCTTCTGCTGACTATGCTCCAAGCTCTCCCCTTTTACCTCCAGCATCTTGAGAGAAGCGAAGCATTGGTAACATCTTAATCAAACCAGAGAAACTGTTCTGAGAGGAGGAGGATTGACTTTTAGCCTATAACCCGAGGGAAGCTCAAGGAGAAATCAGAAGTCAAAAACAATTTAGATTGGATATTGAGGGAAGCTTAAACACTAAGAGCAGTGAAATATTGGCCGTGTTGCAGGGAGAGGATGAAATCTCTTTCACAATCAATGTTTCAGGAAAAACTAGACAAGCATCTGCTGGAAATACTGTAGGTACACCTCTTGTCTTGGATGGGAAAGGCTGAGTCCATGAGACCTTCCAGAGCTGCTTCTAGCCTGACGTTCATGTAATTCCGCCTTCAGATTTCCTTCATACGTTTTGTCTCGTCAGTTCTGTTTGGATTGAAGAATACTGTTTGATTTTTCTTTCCCTGAAGCTCCTGAACTTTTCGAGTGACTTTGAGTGACCAGCCGTTCAATGTTAACTTTTTTTCTTTGTTCTTGTATTTGTCTTGGCTGTCATTTCTAGGGAGACTTTGGTGAGGCGGGATTTCCAGGCATTGCAGGCATGTTTGGACCAAAGGTAAGAGAATATCTTGTGACTTGTTGGCTTTCTAACCTCTCTTTACTGGAGACAGACATTGCGATACTTGCCGCAAATTCTTTATTAGCAGCTTTGTAGAAACTGTTGAAACTAAGTTGTGATTCCAACTTTCTTTAGTTTATGCATCTTCATTTCTGAAGTAAGCCTTGAGTGCGCATTTACACAGGGTTTGATGGAGCTTTGTCCTGTTAAAATGGGTAATAATCGAGGGAAAATGGCTGTCCTATACCCCAACTTGTTCTCCCCACCTCAATGTCTTTGTTGCTCTTGGTCAGAAGACATTCGTATCTTCAGTGCCAATCATCAGTCTGTGCCTGTGACACTGATGTGTGCTTCTAAGGTTGAGTCTTGGCTTGAAATTTAGACTCACTTTGTCCTGTGCCCTAGAGAGAAATTCCCAGGGAAAGGGCGACCAATCTGTTTTCTGAAGAGAGCAAAGGGCGTGCAAAACATGCGAGAAAAGAATTTGTAATAATTGGACCTTCCCGTTCCCACATACAAGAGGTCACACCTCTGGCCGTGTAGCAGAGCTGCAAGCAAGGCCCTAAACATTGGGTACATTCATTACTGGGACCTGGCATCTCATTCTTGCTTGCAGGGGCCCCCAGGAGACCTTGGTTTCAAAGGCATTCAGGGACCACGTGGGCCACCTGGTCTCATGGTGAGTGGTTTTCAGTTTGTTTTGTTTGGGGGTTTTTTTCCTCCTTCCTCCGTCCTCTATTTCTGTGAGGCTACCGGGTGCTATAATGAGCACAGTGCAGTGGTTCACTGGGGAGCCGGAATACAAGCCACGGCCGCTGTACCGGCTCTAAACCACCCAAACGCATCGGTAGCTAACCACATGCGCGCAGGGCTGCTCTGCCATTGGAGACAGTTACGCTTTTATGTGTGGCTGAAATCTTTCTATTTCTGTAATTTCTGAGGTTTCAGCTGGGCTGTGACAACCATACTGTGAGGCCTCGTGTCTTTGGGCCTGACTTGTGAAATGGTTTTGTTTCGGCACAGGGAATACAATGCTCATGGTGCTGAAAGGTTGCAAGAGGTTCAGTGTTTTTTACTGAGACAGACTGAGTAAAAATGACTCTCAGTTCCCACCTGATGGTTCATGCATATCTTTTCTTTCCTAGGGGAAAGAAGGAATTATTGGTCCACTCGGAATTCTGGGTCCCACAGGAAGCCCAGTAAGTATCTGCCTCTGCCTTTATTTTTGCCTGTATTTTTCAGACGAGCATAGTATTTGAGATCCAAGGTGCTTGAGGCCAGTATACGCAAATCCCAAGACCTGCTGTAATGAGTGAAACATTTTGATGATGAGCAGCTTGAGAGACATGCAGATTTAGTCTCTGGCTGCATGTATACTGGAGCAGGGGCAGGGAGATTATTAACTTATAAGTGAGGAGCAACTCCATTTAAGTGTGAGTTTGTGGATAGAGGGGCTCAAACAAAAAAGGCAAGAATGTTATTTAGAAGGTTTTTTTTTTTTTTCCAAAAGACATGTAAGCACTACAGCTAGTTGCCAGATTTTTCCGAAGAGCTCAGGCTGGGAGGCCCCAAGGAAAAAAAATCTGATAACTGTATTAAACTGGGAACAGCTGGATTCTGGGAAGTGTTGACAAATCCACCCTGGGATTCCTACCTTGCCTGTCCTGAAATGCCAAAGGCACTGAAGACAGGTCAATGCTTCATAAAAACATGAGAATAAAGTTACTCAAAGCTCAAAGAGGCTGATGTTGACAGAGATGAAAACCAGTAAGATTAACTCAGCCATCGTCGGTGCTTTGGACTCATGGGTAAACGTGCCTAAAAGGAAGCAAGTGGCTCCTGCTGTTCACAGCAGGCAGGGAAGGTAGGGGCTCGGTGCCCTGCAGCCCCAAGGGAAAAGGTCCCCTCCCCTCGCTCCACGTGCACTTTAGCTTCCGGGATGCCATAGGGGTAGACACTTCTCGGTGCTCATTCCATGTTTAATATGTGAAATGTCCAGTCATGGTTATTTTTTCCCCTCTGGATGGGTGAGGGGGGAGGCCAATATGTCAGCATGAGCTAATTTGCCTAGAGATGTGCCTGGGTCCTTGCAAAGAGTGTCTAGGTAGCAATGCCTCCAAAGAGAGCTGGTGACTAGCAATTGCTGATCGTGCTCTCGTTGTATGTGAAACAGGGTCCGAAGGGAGACAAAGGCAGCCGTGGAGAAACGGTAAGCACTGTTCCACATCCTGGGGTACATCCTGGTGTTAAGAGGTTCCTCTCTCATTTGAGTGAGGGAGAGTCACGCTGGGCTCTGCTGGACCCACAGTTACTCTGGCTCAGTGCTGTGGCATCAGTGTCCCACATGGGAGAGACAGGCACGTCTAGGCACATGCACACACATATGTGCGCGCGCGCACACACACACACACCCCACACACACACGTCTATGCATGCACATAGACACACACTCTGCTATTAAAATTCCAGTTTACTTAATCCAATTGCACAGCAAAAGAGAACACTTTGCAGATGTCTGCTGCATCTACAGGAACAACGTGCAGTGAATGGCAGAGCAAAAGGCAGCGTGCTGTCCCTGCTGGCGGCACGGAGACCTGCCGGTGTCATATGTAGCAGTGTTGGTTGGGTGCAGCCTCCTTTTTGCCTACTGTTTCCTCTGTCCTTCCATGGGCAGCACACAGCCCTTGCATTGGCACCTTGGGGGCAACAGGATTGTGCAGGGAGATTTTTTTATTACTGTGCATCTTCTGACAGCATCTTCTAATTTTTTCTGCAGGGTCTGCAAGGTCCAAGGGTGAGTATTTGACATCACTTTTTCTGACTACTCTCTTTTATTTAAAACTGTTGGCTTTAGCAAATAAGAAGCTGCAGGGCAGGTAACATGCATACAGGGAACGTGATAAGGACCTGGGGATTTGATAGGAATGACAGAGAACCAAAGGGCTAGGAACAAGAGATACGGTAGGAATGGGAGCAGGTGCAGACAGATGCAACAAAGTTGGGAGACAGGAAACAGGGTGATCTCTTGTCTCCAGAAGGGTTTGAGAGAGGTGATGCTGTAAAAATGTCAAAAATCTGGAGGATTTCAGCAGGGAACAGGCCCATTTTGGTGACAGCTATGATAAACGGAAATAACACAAAGTGGAGACATTTCACTAACTGCTGCCACTCTGTCTTTAGGGTCCTCCAGGCCCACGAGGACACCCTGGCCCTCCGGTACGTATACGTGGAAAGAGTTCAAAGATTGTGTTGAAACAAGCTAAAATTATTGCAGTGATACTCTCTGGAGGGACTGCTCACTCACTGGAAATTATAGTTTAGCCCCATTCCTCGTATGCAAGAATGTGTGCGTGTGAATGGACTACTGTTTATTGCGCCTTACTACAAACCATCTCCAAGTATTTTATAGAGACAGCATTGTTGCCTCTCTCACTAGACTGCATTGAGGAGCTCCAGAGGAAAGAGCATTTCAAAAGGACATGAAAGAATATCTTTGCCATAGTAATTGCCCCTCTTTCTGGCTGATGCACTTTTTTTTGCTTTGGTTTCTAGGGACCACCAGGAATTCCAGCTTCATTTGTAAGTTGCTGTTTTCTGTATGTTCGTTAATGATGGTAATAAGGCATGCAGAGCCGAGATGCCAATAGGACATCAAGATTAAGGCCTGCTGGGACCCTGAAGACACACTCAGGTCCAGCAAGAGATGCTGCGTTAGCAGAGCAATGCTTGAATTGCACCCCTAGACAGAGAAGCATTTGCTTGCCTCAGGGAATGCTCAGCTTCTAACAATCTCACTCACCATATTTTTCACCCCATACTAGCAACAAGATGGCTTTGGTGCAGCTTTCCGGTCAGTAATCGACTCGAACACTGCGCTCAGGACAGAGGTACGCGGGCGCTTTTGAACTTACTGGCCTTCACTGCAGCTGTAGGCTGGGAACGGTCACAATCTTGTTTGTTCTTTCTCTGCATTTGAGGCCTATATATGCAAAGCTCTGACTTGTCTTCCGTTCGCATCAAATAACTGCGGTTTGTGCATGCAAAGCTCCAGTTAAAGGACATGGTTTAGTTGTGTTAATTGTTTGTGCAACTCCCAACTTCGTGCCTTTCCAAGCAGTTCAGAGATTCCCTGTTCAAGACAAGGCAAGAGCTGCTGGCTCACTGCTCACCTCCAGTGCTGCCGGTCTTTGGCCCACTGAGTTTTCCTGTAGATAAAGCAGAAACCCTCGTGGTTACAGTGCCTGGTCCCCCAGCAAAGCAACCGTCAGCCACGCTAAGGGCTCACCACTGACTCTGCCTCCTTTTCTCGCCAGGGTTATCAACATCCAGACCTTCTGATGCTGGACCATGGAGGGGAGATCTTTAAGACTCTACACTACCTCAGCAACCTCATTCAGAGCATCAAAAGACCCCTGGGAACCAAGGAAAATCCTGCACGCATCTGTCGAGACCTCATGAACTGTGAACAGAAGATGAATGATGGTAGGAAGCCCTGTGTGTGCAAAGGCCACATCCTTACATAGGGCCATTTAGTAGCCTTCAAACTGGTCTCCTGCCCTGGGACCAGTGATGCATTAGTTGGATCTTACGCACAGGAAAGGCTAGGAGTTCTTGTTAATCTCCAAATCCTCCATTTCCTCAGGTACCTACTGGATTGACCCAAATCTTGGCTGTTCCTCGGACACCATACAGGTCATTTGTAACTTCACCAATGGTGGACAGACATGCCTCAACCCCATCACTGTCTCCAAGGTACACACAGATCTGCACCAGAATTGCATTTCCCATATTGCTATCACTATTATAGAGGATTTATTAATATAACAGGTGTGTAATCCCAGGATACTGGACAGTGACCACTATAACTATATACCTTCTATAACAGCACATGCTGGTGTATGCTTGAGGCAGAGTTACTGTAGTTGTGCTTGTTACATTCAGGCCTGCTCTCATGCAGTTAAAAAATACTGACTCTTGCCAAGACAAAGCAGTACATTTTCAGCAATGTTTAATTAACCCATAACCTTAATAGAGGCCAGTGATTTTGCAAACATGTTGCTCCCAACTGCATTGTTGAACTGATTTATGTTCAGGTCACTCCTGCATTTTGTCTTCCACAAGCACCTGAAACATTGAGGTCAGCTTAAATATACAACTTTCTGCTGAAACTAACGCTACAAGATTTCTCTGGAATAGCCTTTGGCTTTCTGTTGTGGAAGTACATGTAGCAAAAAACACCAATAGCAGTATTTGGTGTCATCTACTGTCCCCACTAGAGCCTGTTGCTTTGCTTCCTTGCAGAAACAAGTTTTGAATTTGAACTTTGTGTTTATTTCCTCCTACTTAGAACCTCCCACTTTGTTCTGAAAAGTGAAGGACTTGCTGTGTGCCCATGACAATTTTCCAGATTGACTTTGCATCTGGCCCTTGTGCCCATACTCAGGCCAGAACCAGTTTTGGGCTCAGACGTCCCTGTGCAGCCACTGCCAGACTTAAGCAGAGAATAGGGGATGTTTTTGTTGCCACTTCTTGTGCTAACTATACCGATATCTCCCTCCTGCCCCTTTGCAGGGGGTATGAGCTAACGTCTCTGTCACCTTCACAGCTGGATTTTGACATTGGTAGAGTCCAGATGAACTTCCTTCGCCTTCTGAGCTCAGAGGTGGTCCAGCACATAACCATCCACTGCCTGAATACCTCCGTGTGGCGGGAAGGCTCATCCGAAAAACCTTCAGAAAGAGCTGTGCGCTTTAAGGCCTGGAACGGTCAGATGTTTGAGGCAGGAGGGCAACTTAAGCCAGAAGTGGCAGCTGATGATTGCAAGGTACGTTGTCCTGAAAGAGTAGAGAGATGGAAAGGCACCATTGCAGTGCAAGCTAATGCTTAGAAATGTCAAGCTGAACCAACTGAGGGCTCAAGTTGTGCCTATGCTTCTTGCTCCGTGACTCCCCTTTTTTTTGGTAGCAGAGAAGAGTCTAGTTTACCTGTTCACAGTCTCAGTTTTGTAGTCCAGGTGCTATGGCGTCTCCTGTTAAGGTGACTGCCTTCAAATAGAAAACTCTTCCAAATTTAAAAGAAGTGTCACGTGTACCACCAGGGAAATGACAGAAGGGGGAAGCGGCACTAAAAGGCAGCAGTCTCAGCTCTTGCCAGATGTCACACTGAGTTGATAGCATCATGTCTGCATTTTGGGTTCACTGCATTAGGCGGTTCACATTTTGTGATGCTGTTTGAAACTCAGCTTCCATCAACATGAAGTGGATAAAGAGCTCCCAAAAATGCTCTCTGAGCCTCACGGCAGACTTGCTCTGCCCACAGGGCAGCCCCTTGCCTCACACAGGGCTTTTCAAGCACCTTAGTGAAACATCTTCCTCTCCAACAAGCTCCTTTCCCCCAGCCAATCAACTTTTTCTGTCTTGCTCCTTCCCTGCGTAGATCAAGGATGGACGCTGGCATCGGACTCTCTTTTCGTTTCGGACCCAGGACCCTCACCAGCTACCAATTGTCAACATCTACAACCTTCCCCGCTCCGAGCCAGGAAAGCAGTATCACCTCGAGGTCGGCCCCGTGTGCTTCCTTTGAACAAAGCCGTCAAAACTGGGCTCCAAGGCTTTGCCCCCCCACCCCCCCGTTTTTGGCCTACGTCTTTACACAGGGTCTCCCACCTCTCCACGGCAAGGACAGCTGGGCTCTACCATTTGGGTCAGCTGTTGCTCTAGCCTTTGGCTCAAGGTCTCAACGAACCCGTGATCTACTGAACTCAACAGATTCTTGAAAGGAGGACTAACAAGGACGTAGGGGAAGCGGGTGTCAGTCGGGACATGAACAGTGAAAAGGGATCGGGGACTAGATGTTGCAAGCAGTTCCACACACAAAGCTTTTGCCATGACCAAAGAAGAAAATATTGAGAAAAACCTCAAGAAACTTGCAGCGTGCATTTTTTTTTGGTTTTTGTTTTGTTTGTTTGTTTTTTCCTCCATTTTGTCTTACCTGATTCCTGAGTTACCAAATGTTCTTTCCATTGAAAAGTAATTAAACGATAGAGCTTCCCTCTCAGAGCTTGTCACCTTCTGGACGGCCACGTGCTGCTGCATCAGGCTCTCCCAGGCGGAGCTGCAAGTTGAATCTGGCTGCTCTGTGTGCCGGAAGCATTTTGATGTGCAATATTAGAAGAAACAAAAAAAATATATATTATATTATTTAAAGCAAAAAGAAAAAAAAGAACAAAAAAAAAAAACCTAAGTTCCTCCTTCCATGGGTGAGTTTAATAAATATCCCTTCTCATGTGTGGTGTTGGGGTAAGGGAGAGTCCCAAAGCTGAAAGGGGGGAATGGAAGGAGGAGAGAGGAAGAGATTGGTGCTAAAATAAGAGAGAGAGAGGATGGGCTCATCTGATTTGTTTCTACCTCTCACTGTGAAATCTCTGGTGCTCTTTAAAAAAGTGTGTTATTTTATATATATGACTTTAAACTATTTAAGGTTGTGAAGGTGCTACAATGTCTTGCCACAGCCCCAAAAAACCCCCATAGGACCATCTCTCGGAGAAGAGAGGAGGTCGTGATCTACAGCTAAATCAGAGAAACAGTCACCTTGAAAGGCAGCTTTTAATTGCCGTGGATGTCAGTGATGCACAACCAGTCGTTGCATCCAAAATTACTTACCAGCTATTTTAAAAGCAAACATTGCTAATTTTTTTTTAAACAGCACTTCACTGCTTTGGGAGAGGAGTGAGGGATACAGCTCATCCGCAGATGCGGTAAGCATTAAGCCTCAAGAGAGAGCTACGGTTGTAGTCGGTTGTCACGTAACTAGTTTTGCTGTATTTGCGTTGGCCACGTGTCCGTGCCAGCTCTCGCGCGCAGTGATTTCCTGGTCTAATCTCGTATTTAAAACCCCAGCTCTGCTCTCCTTTTGTCTGGCCCCTCTGTCAAGACTGAAATGATGGTACCTTGTTTCAGAACCCAGCCGGGCTTGGAGGGGTTTTGTTTTGTTAAGTTTTGTAGAAATCTAGTCTCTATATGTAAATTTGGAGTTTTTTTTTTTTTAAGAGGATAATTATGGTAATCTTTAATTCTATATAAGGAATAATATTGATGTAATCGGAGCTGTACTGTATCAGAAACGCTTCAGTGCCTGTTTGGAGTTTTCATGTCTCATATGGACTATGGATTTTATTTTTTTGAGGAAAAAAAAATATATATATATATGTGAGTCTCTCTTTGTGTATTCTTTTTGCTACTGCCTGCTGGTTTTTTTGTTTTTTTTTTTTAATGAGCTTAAAAAAAATGTTAGCAAGGTCTCTCTCAAATACCTCACCCTCCGCACAGTGCCGACTGCGGGGCTCGGCCCCGGCTCAGCGATACTCCGGCGTGCCGCCGGCGCGCCCCCCTGCGCCCGCGTC